TGAGGCATTTGGTAGCTCAGGTGCCAGCCCAAACCTCTGGCCCACTGATGCCAAAAACCCCAAGGGTTCCTAAGAGACAGCTCCAGAGGATCAAGACTATTCCTGAGGAGGATGTCATGGATGATAATTCACAACGGGTTCAAAAGTCTGAGAGTGAGGGAGAGGTAAAGCCCACCAGGGCGAAACGTGCTGCTTCCCAGAGGGCCACTGAAAGCATCAAGAAACAACAGTCATTGACACTCAACATCAAGCTGAGAAGACCTCAAGATGAAGACGTTATCACTGAGGCGATCAAGGTTTGCTTCTATTTTATTTAATTTTTATTACAACTGCACTCTTGAATATTGTAAGGCTCAATTGTCAAAATTCTTTAGGACCAGACACTGCGGATAAGTCGTTCCAAGCGCCCGAAGACGTCACTCTCAGGTTCAGAAGAGGACGACAGGCCGCCATCAAAGGTCGCAAAGACTGGAAAAGCGGACGCAAAACGTGGTCGTCCCAAAAAGATCAAAGAGGAGCCACTCTCGGAAAAGGAGTCCTCCCCAGAGAAGCCAGTGATGTCACCCGAAGTGCGTCTGACTCGTAACGGTAATTCCCAACCTGCAAATAAAACTCAGGTGATAATCGACGAGACCCTCGAGCTACCCGAGAACGAAACGATAATCGATCCCTCCCTCTACGAGGATGCTATTGGCAAATCCATCCCCATGAATTCAACGATGAACCCCAATACAACCATAACAATCGACCGCAAGATAATGAACGCAACAGTTGTCCTCGAGAAGATAAACGAAACTATTACGTTGAAAAAAGGCTCGATTCAATCCCAACCGACGTCCCAAAAGAACAGTCTGAGAATCTCTACAATTTCTCCAGTGGTATGTCTTGATCCTATTCCTCAACCTCAACGAACTCTCCAGACTAAACTGGCAGCTCTAAAAGAGTCCCTGATAAATCAGGAGTTCGACGCAATCCTGACCGACGACGATTCTTCCCCAGAGCGCAAAGATCCCCCCAAGAAGTCCAAACGCCTGCCAGAAAAATTCAAAAAACCTCGCATGGTGTTCTCTTCTTCCTCCGAGGAGATTCAAACCCCTCAGAAATTAATTCGCCCAGATCCCAAACCCTTACGAGACCTGAAGTACAAGGCTAACGCTCTCTTCAGCCCTTACTCCAAGGAGTCAGTGAAGAAGAAGGTCGAGGCGTTTGAACAGGCGGTCCAGAACTCTCCGAAATCCGAGATTGATCCGCCAACGAGAGTCACTAGAACGAAGACAAGAGCAATGGCAGCTGCTGGTGATGAGGTGCCCCATGTGCAGACACTGGCTCAGAAGCTAGCGAGAAAGTCCCTGGCGAAGGCCAAGAAGATCTCACTGACCCGCCAAAAGAGAGAGAACGACGAGTCCAAGGAGAATCTTTTGGCATCAGCCACGAAAATCAAGTACTTCCCCATGCCAAATGACAAGGCGACAATAAAGCAGAGCCAGAGGACAACTCCAATCTCCAAATCTCGACTACAGATGCCCATGTCCGTGAATAGAATTCACCATACTCCAGCTTCCAATATTCCTCCGCCAAAATCAATGACAGTATCGAAAGCCTATGGAGTGGGATCGACGGAGTCTCTGGCGTCGAAACCACTGTCCAAGTCTGGTTCGATAGACAGCCTTGCTGAAAAGAAGAGGCTTGATGAAGATGCAAGGAAGAAGAAGGAGGAGAATTTAAAAGCTCTGACTGAGGAGAAAAAGAGGAAGAGAGAGCAGAAGGAGCTGAAGAATAAAATGGCGAGAGAGGCAAAGGAGAGGCAGGAGCAGCAGAGGCGTTTGCAAATTGAGAGGGAAAGAGAGGACAAGGCTAGACAGGCGTTAATAGCCCAGGAGAAGATGAGGGAGGAGGTAGAGAAGAAGAAACTGGCACAGTTGCAGAGAGCACAGGAGAAGGAGGAGAGGAGGCGACAGGAGGAGGTGATGAGACTTCAGAAGATTCAGGAGCAGGAGGAAGCAGAGAGAGCACTGGCTGAGGAGAAGAGGAGAGAGCAGGAGGCTGA